AGAACTTTTAAAGAAAAAGTCCCTCCCATCTCTAATTCCATCATCCTAAGATCCTATGAGCATAGAGTATAAAGAAGCTATTGACATAGGAGTAAATATACGTACTTCAAGCAAAAAAAAAAAACCAGTATCCTGGATGGGGAAGTGATAAATAATGAGGCATTGTGACTCCTTTGCAATAAAAATTTGCACACCTGACATTCATTAAGTGGACAGAAGCCTGTTGGACACCAGTAATACCCTGAGCATCTGCCAGAGGAAATGGAGAGCTTTAAGGAGAAAGAATAACAAAACCAGTGGTGGGAGGATAGAGCAGATGTGCATCTTCAGGCTGGCCGGACTCTCTAGTGCAATCCCTTGGCATTCCTTATGGCAGCAGAGCTGAGACGTAAAGAGCACAAGAATGAGTGTAGTGTAACTTTAAAGAACTTGAAGAGGTGTGGCTGGTCCCAAAAGGAAGAAGAAAGGGCTGTATTATGTGTAGGCCTACATCTAAGCCCAGCTCTGAGATTTTCAACCTGGGTGATCTTTCAAGCTATCTCCTTCCTGCTTCCCAGACCTCTCTATTGTGAGCAACATCTTGCCTGGAAAATGTATGTGCTGTGTCAATGGTTTTAAATATATGGCACCAACCAATTTTATTTTTATATTAAAAAACCTGATAATTGTCAATATGAAAAAAAGTGTTATTTTCACCTTTTAGGGTGGGGAGGAGTGGAATGGGGTAGGCTGCCTTCCAGGAAAATTACATAAAGTATTTTTTTTCCCTGAGGCAATTGGAGTTAAATGACTTGCCCAAAGTCACACAGCTAGTGAATGTTATGTATCTGAGGCTGGATTTGAACTCAGGTACTCCTGACCCCAGAGCCAGTGCTCTAACCACTGTGCCACCTAGCTGCCCCCTACATAAAGTACTTTACGTGGCCTTTATTTGATGGGGACAGGGAATTAATAAAGTACAAATTTATCCGATCCTCCATGGGGTGAAGAAAAAGGGATACCCCAAAGTCATCTTAGATCAGGGCACACTTCATTTGCAGGGGGATAAAGAATGGAGAGGAGTCCTAAGTTACACACAGCTGAGGAACTAGTGAAAAATTTAATCAGTAATAAATCAACAGGCATTAGTAAGCAACTTAGTGTGTGTCAGGCTCTGCACCAGGCTTCAGAAGTTAGTGCAACTCCCTAAGGGCCTGAAATTCCCAGGCATCATCTTATGGATGGGACTGTATAACCCACAGCCATTTTAATTAAGATTACATTTTCTCTCAAGGAACCTTAACTTTCCCTGGCAAGATGATGGATTCAATGACAGAGAAATGGAGAGAGATATAGACACTGAAGACAAGAATTGAAATTGACACAGATTTCTGTTTATTTGAACTTGTGATTTTATCAGTATAAGGAACTCCTGCAAAGGAAACTCCCTTTACCAATGCAGAACAGCATTGGGTCTGCAATCTATAATGTCAGATAGAGCATCACTTGGGACCCTGAGGAGTTAAATTTGTCCAGGATCACATCACCAGTAGCATCAGAGGGGGTACATGAATAACATCCTTATGCCGTGACTGGCTCTCTATGCACTATGCCACACTGCCTCTCCTCACTCTTAACACAGTTTTGCTATTTAGAATCTGTTTGAAATCTGCCTACTGAAAACAGCATATGCTATTTCAACTTACAACCACAAGATAGCAGGAGAACTTTTAATCTGAGCTCCAAATACTGAGGTCTTTCAGAAAAGATTCAGAAAAGAAGAGCAAATCAGGAAACCCATTGAAGTAGCACTACTGCAAAGTAGTACAGAAAATAAACCAGTTGTATTTCACATCATTTAAAGTATTTCTTGCACAACTTAGTTATGTTTATTTTAATGGCCTAACATTTAGAATGTTATAAAAATTTTAATCTATTGATTATTCAACATAAAGAACATTTTTTTTCATAATTAAACACCTTCTTTCATTTTCATTTATCAAACAGGATATGCCTAAGTTTTATTTAACATTATAATACATAAATAAATACCTCATATACCATTTTCCTCATCTACAAGTTGAAGAGTCTCTAAGTTCTCTTCAAAGTCTATATATGTGCTTCTAATATACAAGCATGGCATATGGCCTCTGAATATAAGATTGAGCTTGAAGTAAGCTATACCTATATACAAATCCTGTCATTGACTCTTCCTAGCTATGTGGCCACAGATAAGCTAATATCTTTAAGCCTTTAGGCAACTATCTAAGACTAATCTATTAGGTTAAAGACAGGATGCAATATATGATTTGGTAGATATAATTTCCCATGCTGATGAAATACCCCTGGTATTTTTAGATATGTGATATACTTACATATATATATAAAAATACATGTTTATAAATAAACATTTATGTATAGCAATCGATAAGCATTTATTAAGTGCCTGCTTTGTACCAGGCACTCTACTAAGCACCAAAAATACAGAAAGGGGCAAAAGACAGTTTCTCTGTCAAGGAGCTCATAATATGATCAGAGAAACAACAAACAATTACACACACACACACACACACACACACACACACACGCACGCGCGCCAAATACAGGGAAAATAGAAAATAGCTAACAGAGGGAAGACACTGGAATTAAGAGGGGTTATGAAAGGTTTCCAGTAGAAGACGGGATTTTAGTTAGGCATTAAGGAAAGTCAGAAGGCAGAGAAGAGAAGGGAGAACATTCCAAGCATGGAGGGAAAGGGAGAGGAGTCAGAGAAAATTTCTAGAGCCAAGATATTGAGTGTATTATTCATGGAAAGGAGGAGAACCGGGAAGTAGCAATGGAGATCAAGAAGTATTCCAATTTCCCTACCTTGACCTGAGCCAAGGCAAATAAATGAAGGTATAGTCCATACTGATAGGGTATCTAAGAAGGCTGTGTCACCAGTCTGTCCTCCTTGATACTCTCTTCTCTCTAGGTTTTCAGGACACCACTCTTTTCCTTGTTCTCCTCATCCCTATCTGACTGCACGTTCTCTGTCTCCTTTGCTGGATCCTCATCTAGATTACCTCCAGTAACCATAGGTGTGCCACAAGTTTCTATTCTGGTTTCTCTTCTTCTATACTACTTTACTTGATGATCTCATCAGCTCCATAAATTTAGTTACTACCTCTATGCTGATGAGTCTCAAATCTTCCTATTCTGCCCCAATTTCTCTGTTTACCTCTAATCTTAGATCTCCAACTGCCTTTTAAATATCCCAAACTGGATACTTAAGTAGACATCTTAAACTCAATAAATTCAAAACAGAACTCATCTTTCCCCCTAAACCATCTGCTCTCTTTCACTGTTGTTCAGTTGTTTCAGAAGCTTTATGACCCCATTTGGGATTTTCTTGGCAAAGATACTGGAGTGGTTTACCATTTCCTCCTCCTGCTCATTTGACAGTTGAGGAAAGTGAGACAAACAGGGTTAAGTGTTTTGCCCAGATTCACACAGCTAGTAAGTGTCTGAGGCCAGATTTGAATTCAGGAAGATGAGTCTTCCTGACACCAGGCCCAACATATCTACTATGCCACATAGTTCCTCTCTCCTACCTTTCCTGTTATTGTAGAGAGCAAAACCATCTTCAGAATCCCTCCAGCTTGCAACCTAGGAGTCATCCTGCGTTTTTCACTGTATCTCACCCCCCCCACCACCACCACCATATCCAATTTGTTGCCTAGGTCTGCAGATTTCATCTTTGTATCAGCTCTCCAATATACTCTATCTCTCCTGTTACCGCCACCACTCTAGATCAGGCTCTCATGCCTCACACTTGGATTATTGCACTATCCTACTGGTGATTCTGCCTGCCTCAAATCTTTCCCCATCCTCCATTCAGGAACTAAAGTGATTTTTCTATCCTGCCATTCAGGCACTGTTTTTCCTAAAGTACAAACCCAATCGTATCATCTTCCTATTCAATTAACTCCAATGGCTTCCTATTGCCTCCAGGAGCAAATACAAAATGTTCTTTATGGCATTCAAAGCCCTTCATTAATCCCCTTTTACCTTTCTGGTTTCTTATACCTTACTCATATCCATGTAGTCTTCAATCCAGTGACTCTGGCCTCCTGGCTGTTCTATGAGCAAGACTCTCTTTCTCTCAGCCCTAAGCATTTTCTCTGAATATCCCTCATGCCATGATCTCCCTCACCTGCTCTGACTACTTATCTCCCTGGCTTCCTTTAAGTGTCAACTAAAATCTCACTTTCTCCAGGAAGCCTTTCGCAACCCCTCTTAATTCCAGTACCTTACCTTTGCTAATTAATTCTTATTTATCCTATATGTGGCTTGTTTTGTATATATATTTTTGTATGTCTATATATACCTACATGTATATTATGTGTGTGTGTTTACATATATATACATGTATATATGTGTATTTACTTTCTATATATTTGCCTGCGTGTATCTCTTACATTAGATCATAAGCTCCTTGAAGGCAGGGACTATCAACAGACAGTATCTTTTTGGATACCTAGCACTTAGCACAAAGCTTAATAGATGTTTATAAATAAACAGCCTGTGTCATCAGGGGAACTATTTTTCATTAATATCTATTATATGGAAGAAATGGAAGAGGAAAGGATTTAGGATGAAGAAAGCTGATTGTCTATGGAACAGTATTCCAGACTTTGGGGTGGGAGGGTTGAGAGGAATGGGAGTAGGAATCAGAAGGGTGGGGGATAAGGATTAAATGATGACCTAGAAGGGTTCAGAATCACTGAGATCTGAGGGGAATGACCAAGTATTAGAATGTTCGTCACTGAATGGAAGGCACTGCTCCACTTCCCAAAGAAGGCTAGAGATCAAGCTAGAGGAATGTGCAGTATGAGATGGGAGGCACAGGGTCAGATGGTCAAATATGAAGTCCCACTTCCCTCTTCCCTCTGAAGGGTGAAGATTAGGCAAGAAAGGGCATAGCCAGAGATTGAAATTGAACTTAAATGTGCATAGCAGGAGAAAGAATTCCCATTCCTCAACAATTTTCCTTTTCCTCTTCCCTCCAGGGACAGGCATAGCAGGAGACAGAAGGCCTGTGGTAAGAGGGAAGATTGCTCCTCTTTGTACTAAAGGTTCTACATATCGCAGTAGGGAGGTCAGTCTGGCAGCAGGAGGTGGGAAAATTGTTGTTTAAGGGATATGTGGCTCCCTGAAAGAAACAGAAGGCATGAAATATACAGTCAGAGGAAGTTTGGGTTCCTCATCTCACCTGAATAAGGTATATGGATGGATAGATAGATAGAAATATATGATTCTGTATGTATATGTGATTCTATATTTGTTATATATAAGAATATATATACATATCTATATATGATTACAAGCTACATATATTATGTATATATTAGAATAAATCTATATGTATATACATGTGCATTGTGTTACATGCATCATACCTATATTTATAAACACATATGTCAATATGTCAAAAATCTATAATTTCATCAGCATAAGGGATTCTCTCTACTAGTTCACAGATTATAATCAGATCTATAACTTAGAAAATAAACCTTAGACAGTTTCCTGGGATTCATAAAGGTTAATTGATTTTCCTAAGGTCAGATAGCTAATGAGTCAAAAGAAGGATTTAAAAACAGGTATTTCTTATTCAAGTCAAGCAGTCCCCAATAGGTCATAGTGAGATAGATATATATATATATAGATATATATATATATATATATATATATGTATATATATGTATATATATGTATATATATATATATACTTGCATACATGTCTACATACTGAAAATTCATAAATTTTAAAAACCAAAAGTTCTCGTCTGTATGTGTTTGTCTGTTTCTATTAGTCATTATGAGAAAGATTCAGTAAGATACCTCTTAAATTGAATGTACCATTCTAAAAACAATTATAGTATAATTATGATCTAATAGTCTTCAAGAATTAGAATAAACTACCATCCTTGCCCTAGCTGCCCCTCCCCATTCTGCATTTACTCATCATTTCATTAATCCACATATATTAATGGATTATATTAGTAATTTCATCAATAATCATAAAATATTCTCTGAGTATATTTGAATAACAAAAAACACTAGCATCACTAGTGCTGGATGATTATACACAGCCCTAAAGTTGACAGAGATAACAATAAACATAGCATCTAAAGATTCCCGGTCTGTCTCTAGAGAGATGCCTTAAAGCTTTCTTCACATCTCTCCCCCAGAGCAAAAGCCTGAGAAAACAGATGGGTCTCCCTTAGTGACCTGCAGATCAACAGCCTCCCTGCCTGGCAGCTGGACCAGAAGGAGTTCAGGACTCAGGGCTCTGCATCAGAAACATGCTGCGTCCATCCCCTGGAGTTCAAAGTGAGACACTGTCCCCTACATGCCCTTCTTTGATCGACTGTTGAGAAGACTGTTTGGGAATGCGACCAGGATTGCTGTCCCAGTGGATTAAGGCAATCCTGGAGCCAAAGCAGTAGGATTAGGAAAGGTTTTGAGGTGGTGGGGGTGGACAAAAAATTTAAAAGGCATATTTATTTGCACTAGAGAAATGAATGGGTTTTTAAGGCAGAACCTATCCTCCAAAAAAACTTTTATAAGAAATATGGAGGTTGAAATTTAAATTTTGAATTCATTTCAATGAACTAAAACTAGGTAAGTTGATGTGGTGGTGACTGATGAGAAATGGTACAATAAAAATTTAGCCTACCAGTGACCATACATAAATCACCCTCCAGAGAGTGGCAGAAGCACAAGTGCTTTTAGCTCTTGGACACTCATCTGCCTATTCTAATGCACATACCTAGGGCAGACAAGAAGTCAACCAAGAACACTCATTGTGAACATACACAAGGACTGACCATGCTGAATACAAATGAGGTTGCCTAATATGTTTTTCCTAAATTACGTTGTCAGGTAAGTTCCAGGGCTGTGCATTTCAGAGAAGACTAACATTTCTCCAGCAGGGCCTCATACAAAGTCCTTGAGTGTGCAAATAAGGTGCTCTTAAGTGAATTTGTCACAACATAATGCTGTGACTTGGTTCCCCATGCAACTCAGGTACCAGACTTGGGTTACTGCTCAGAGCCAGTGGGGGCAGTCTGTCAAGAAGAGAAGGAAAAGACGCTGCAGAAATATGTGCCATCCATATGGGGCAGGTAAAGAAAACCTGAGTTCAAATCTGGTTTCCGATTCTTACTAGCTGTGTTACTGAGTAAATTACTTCACCTCTTTCTGCCTCATATTCCTCTACTGTAAAATGGGGGTGATAATAGAATCTACATCATAGGGTTGTTGTGAGGATCAAATTAGATATCTATAAAGTTCTTATCACAATACCTGGCATATAATAGGTGTTTAATAAATGTCTGTTCCTTTCCTTTCCCTTCCCCCTTCCTATCCCACTCTGTTACCTCCACAGGGGCCTTTACTTATAAAAATATCAAATGCCTGAGAAGACTGAAAAATAGAAAAGGATTAGGCATGATGTAATTCATGATTCCCGTCCAATGGACCATAAACCCCTAAAGGTTTGAAAAGCTATGGAGTCCTCAGATGCATATATGAATCCCTAAGTAAGCAAACATACTTTTTGTAGGGTAAATAAAAAGTTGTACAAATATGGATTGTATAAATTCATTTAAAACGTGACAAAATTCATACCAGCTTTTTGTCATCATATATTTTCTGAGTCAATGGATAGTAATAATATGACTACTATTGTGAATATCTAAGAAAAATTTTTTAATTTATTTTTAATTTATGGAATAAAACAAGCATTTCTATAGCATAGTAAAAAAAAAAAGATGATTGCACATGAAGCTGCAAATCTAGTATGCACAACTTGCTATTCCTTTAAGAAAACTTTTGATACCAAAAAAGGATCCCTGTATCCTGAAAGGAGAGTTTATTAGAAAGAACCCACAGAAGTAACTTCTGGCAAAGATGGTAATATGAAAGGGTCAACCCAAACCCAACTCTCCCCAAAACCATCTAAAGAACAACAAAAATAAAGGAAAAGATCAACAGATAAACAAGATGCAAGTAAAGAAACTGCATGATGTAATCACACACAAGGATAAAACAAAAAGGGAGCCTGCTATCTGTTCTGAATTCCAGTCCTCTGAACCAGTGCCAAGAGGACCCCATAACCTGACTCAAAAGGAATCAGGGCCCACAATTCCTGACTTGATACTAGACTCTATAGAGGGTTATGATGGGAAAGCACAGAAACACTATCAACCAGGCTCACCAGTTGACCTACTAATTGCAAAGACAACGAGGCCAACATGGCTGGTAGCAGCCTGCTCTTCCCACCCTCAGCCCTGAGCTGAAGGGTTTATTAACAGTAACTAGCCATTACAGAGCTCAAAAAAAAATTCAGAAGGAAGGGCAAAGGAGAGAGAGGGTCACTACTCACCCCTAGTGGAGAAACATAAGAAAAATTGTAATACTGTAAAGAAATATTGTGGGCTAAAAGAACTCAAGGATAAAACTCCAGAAAAGAGCAACTTAATAATAATATTATTGAAATAAATAAAATAAAATAAAATAAAAACTAATAATAAATAGAACACCAGAAAAAGTACCGAATAGACTATATTGACTCAAAGAACAAGTGGACAACTTGGTAAAAAGAAATTAAGGAAAAGAAGGGAGAGAAGAAGAATCACGTCAGAGCTCTTAAGGATAAGTGATTTAAACAGAAGAGAGTAAACCTTTCCATAGTAGAATTCTTTTTTTTGTTTGTTTGGGTTTTTTTTGGGGGGGGGGGTTTTTAGGCAATTGGGGTTAAGTGACTTATCCAGGGTCACACAGCTAGTAAGTATCAAGTGTTTGGTCTGAGGCCACATTTAAACTCAGGTCCTCCTGACTTCAGGGCCGGTGCTCTATCCACTGCGCCATCTAGCTGCCCCTCCATAGTAGAATTCTTGAAAAGGAAACAGAACCAACAAATTCAGTGTTGCAAGACACATAGAGAAAAGTCAAAAGACAGAAAAATGTAGGAAAGTATGAACTTTCTTCCATCAAAAACAACTGACCTAGAAATTAGGATGAGGAGAGAAAATTTAGGAAACAATCACTGGGCTTCCACCATTAGCCTGATAAAACAAAAAACCTTGACACCAAATTTCAAGAACTCGACACAGGAAACTGCCAGAACTATTAGAGCCAGAGGACAAATTTAAAATAGGTAAAACCCATCTGCAAGAAACTCCAAACTTATAACCGGAAATATGATTATGAAATTCCAGAGCTTTCAGGTCATAGAAAAATGATGAAATCATCCAGAAGGAAACAAATCACATACCAAGGAACCCAAGTCAGAATTACACAGGAATATGCAGCTAATAATATGGAGGAATATTTGAACAAATTGTTTTACATGGATGTAATGGAATATTACTGTGCTTCAAAAAAAAATAGCAAGAATTCAAGGAAACAAGATTTATATAAGCTCATAGAGACTGACGGAAGCAGAATAAAGAGCATTTTCTAACGTGTCTCTTTTGGGCCTCACACAGATGCTGATCTTAGCCTCTCACACATTCTTGTCCTGTGCCATTCTTGTCCATGTGTTCTCCCATTAGGCCTCCCTAAATGATTTGGAAGCCTTGATCTAACTCTTTTCTGCAGCAAGAGTAGAAAGAGGACACATGGGACAATAAAGTCATATTATATATTTCTGTTTTCTGGGTCAGCATGACTAAAGAACTCATCATATAGTATCCCTCTTTGGGGCAGCTAGGTGGCACAATGGATAGAGTGCTAGGCCTGGAGTCAGGGAAAAACTGAGTTCAAATTCAGCCTCACACACTTACTTGCTGTGTGACCCTGGGCAAGTCACTTAACTGATGCTTGCCTTAATCCACTAGAAAACAAAATGGCAAACCACTCCAATATCCTCTCCAAGAAAACCCCAGACATAGATACAGCTGAATGAGTGAACAGCAAGAAGTATCCAACCTAATGTGGATGAGCCTCTGGGACCTAATCTAGGCTGCTCCTTGGACAATGGAAACAGTCTGCTGCAAGAATGGTGTTCAAAGAGACAGCTAGGTGGTACAGCGGATAGAGCTCCAGCCTTGGAGTCAGGAGGAGCTGAGTTCAAGTCTGGCTTCAGACACTTGACAATTACTAGCTGTGTGACCCTGGGCAAGTCACTTAACCCCAATTGTCTCACCAAAAAAAAAAAATGGTATTCAAAGCTTTTTTCTGGCTTTACAGAACTTGTCAAAGTAGAAAATCTGCTAGGATAGCCTTAGAGAACACAGGATCACCTAACTAGTATGATAAGGCATCAAAACAGTACTTTTTGGGAGGATGACACAAACAACTCGTGAAAACTCCCTTTATCAAAGCAGATCAGCACCTGCTCTGCAACTCAGAGACTTAATTATCCGAGGCAATGAGAAGCTAAGTGACTTTCCCATGGTCATATAAGCAATATGAGTCAGAAGCAGGACTTGAACCCAGGTCTTCTCAACTGAAGTTTCTGCAAATGGGGACTGCCCTCTCCCTTCTCTAGCATTCTCATAGTGATGAGCTGTTCCACTGATGTACGCTAAGGCCCCCTACACATTTCCATTCATCTGTGTCTGAACCCTTAAGCTCTCCAAATCTTGGGACTTAACTGCAGTCATAGCAGTCAGAATATAGAAAGAATAAATGGAAAGGCTGTTCATAGAATAATTGATTTTGAGGTAGATAGGCATGAAAAGTCTCTAAGTCGCACCTTGTTTGTTGAAACATGAGAAAATTGAGGGACTGAGAGGTCCTGTTAAGTGTTAAGAGGTTAAAGTTAAGTTCAGGGTCACACAGACAGGAAATGTCTGAGGTAGGATTTGAATTCAGATCTTCTTGCCTCCAAGTCCAATGCCCTTTCTGCTGTGGGACTTGTGTTACAAAATTTTAAAGGAGGAAGGAGAGAATGGGATCAAGTAAGCAAGTTAAGAGATTTATCTTGTTTAGAAGAATAACCCTTCTGCATCTAGAGCGAAGAATAAAATGTGCATGTTGTAAGTGGAGGTACTCTCAGGGTGTCCGTTAAACATGAAAGAGGTTCTAGTTAAAAAGTTTGGGGAGTAGAGTAGGCTGAGAATAGAACTGGGATTCCAAAGAATACCAGAGAAGGGGGAAGGACACAGAGAATTGAGGTTATAGTGAGCCTGGGCAGGAGTATGAGTACACCATTTATACTTCAATAATCAGACAAAGTCCATGGGATCAAAGACCAGACACAGCAAGTTACGATAAGCACATCATAACTTCCCAGACATTGCAAGAAGTGATCGTGTTGTCTGCTCTGGTTTTTGTTTGTTTATCTTACATAGAATTAACAAAAACAAGAGGAGATGAGTTGG